AGTACATTGTATACTTTTTTATTATGCCAAGTATTGTGCACCAAAATTACACTGATTTGGTGTATAATACGAAGTACAAAGCGAGTTGCGCATAGTTTAATATGAGGCCTGTATTTGTCTCTGTACTTTGCACCAAACTGACGTTGTTTGGTGCATGGAAACCCTCCAAATCCCGAAAACTAAGGTGAACAATTATCTATGATACTTGTCTTAGACGACGGTGATCACTAACAATTTTTTTTTTTTTTTGAAAAAATGTTATGATGAGGTGCACATCCTCACAATTGTTTTAGGTTTTTTTTTTCTTTTTCTTGGTTATATAATAAAGGATTGCATCTAATCTTTTGAAACATAATTTATTTATTTATTTATTTTTTCATAGTTGATACTTTTTTTTTTTTTTTAGTTGATACTTACACACACTTGTCTCTTTTAAGACTTAAACCTCTGACCTCCTTTTGAAAGGTAAGAGGCTGATACCGCTAGGCTACTGGCCGTTGGTCATAGTTGATACTCACACACACATACCTCCATGGAAGCTTGAGCTCTTGACCTCCATTTGGAAAGTAAGTGCCAGATATCGCTAAGCCACATTTATGAATATTATTCAACAAAAATTCATATTAAAGAGCAAAAGGATCGACAAATTATAGCTTTACTCTTTTGCTTTTTAGTTTCGAGTAATGCTAACTCTACCCTCTTATGAAAAGAGTATGAGCTCTTACTAGCATTACTCTTTAGTTTATTGCATTGAAGAATAGAGTTTCCAAAACTTGTTACCAATTAATGTACCGTCCAAAATTTTAAATGCACGTGGGCATGATTTGTATATGAAATAAATTATGATTACATCACTCATTATATTTAAGGTATACTATCCAGATTCTATCAATGAAGATGTACACTATTTTCATCACATATGTGGGTATATCATGATCAATAAAAAATTAAAAGAAATAATGCCATTCAAAAATGAAATGGGTTCACCTGACTTCCATTCATTTTTCTTTTTGATTAATTATAATTGACAATCACATATGTGTTATAATAAGATTGTGGAACGTATGGTGAGGATGGTGCAAGTCTTTACATGTGAGACCAGTATTGTAGGGTGACAAGGGTACAGATTGACCAATTTGCCCTTACTAAAAGTGGACGGACAAAAAAACTTCCTTGTTAAATAATTCAAGGGAGTTGGAGAAAATGTCCAAGTCAGAGGATTATGGTATCAAATATCAAAGATTATTTTTTTGTCTTAAATCCTAGCTAGTTCCTTAGGATTCTTGCATATCGGGACAATAATGCCCTTGTGCTTACTGTTGTTCGATGTTAGTTGCACTCACGCACTGTTGCTTGGTTGTACTCTGCTTGGATGACAATTAGCTTAGCTAAATCTGGATGATTCTAGGATTTGGTTTTTTACTTTGGATAGATAACAATATATGTTGTTTGGATATATTTAGAGCTGTCGTCTTTTAAGTGGTGGTATTTTTAAGGTTACTGTTAGGATGACAGCACCAATTAATTAATACCTGCTCATTCATTTATATATATGTGTGTGTGTGTGTGTCTGTATGTATGTATATCGTGAATAACGTACTTTATGATTGTTTTTGGACGTATCAAGATGAGTGGTGCTTAAAAATTTGATGATTGAATTTGAATGGTTACTATCTGGAAGCTTTTATTTTCATATTTTTGCTTACTAGTTAATTAATTTTTACAGAAAAAGAATTTATCAATAAGTTGATTTTGATGCATTAGAAGTCTTATTTTTGGGGTTTTTTTGGGGTAAATAAAAGGAGTATATTTATGTATAACGTGTGAGATGTACAGAAGAGAGTTTGGATAAAGAAAAATAAAATAAAATAAAATTTTACTATGGTCTTGCAATTTTTTTAGTATAAACAATTTAGTTTTCGGGGTTACATAGCCTTTAAGTTCAAAGGAGTCAAAACTGTCATTTTACCACTCATATATATAAAACTCATGCAATCAAGGAAAATGTTATATATTCCGGCCGACCAAGAGACAAGAAGTCTTGTAGGCCTCACAATATAGTGGGAGGTGGATCTCACAAACTTTGTCCAATGATATATTTATAGCACTGTCGACTTCTATATATAATTTGATTTAACGAATATATATATATATAGAGAGAGAGAGAGAGGGAGAGAGAGAGAGCACTGTCCATATGTCAAAGAGCATTTACGAGCTTAAATATTTAGTATTTTACAACTAGTTGGAAATGGTGTAAAAAGGATATATATGTACATCATATTGGGTCGTGAATATCCATGATCATAAACCTGAAGGAGTTGGTTAATTCCAAGTGTCATAATCATACAATCATAAGGTAGCTAGATAATGTATGTTTAATTAATAGTATTTTCAATGAAATGATTTGGTCTGTGATTGGAGAGGCTGTTTGGCTCTCCTCGAAGAGCTCATTTGAACATGGAAATTAAGTGTGTGCATACCGAGAAGAATATGAGAGAGGTTCAACTAGAAGAGTAGCTACCAATACGTACGTCATAAAAGCCACGTGAGGCACATGCATAGAGTCAACAAGATCGAACATGGAAAATCGACCAAAATTCTCAATTAAGTTTTTAATTCAATTTTGTTGGATAATCTTTTATTCTTCTAATCGAGCTACCAAACACCTCCTCACATGCAAGGATCATGATTCATCATTTCGAAATTCTATTAGCCGCATATCATGCAGAACGCGTATTAATTAATCCAACAAAAAAGAAAACTTAAAACACATACACCTATATATATTAATATATTATACTAAATATATTGTATACACGGAATATATATATACACTAATACAAACACAACACTCTTTTTGGTCTTTTAAGAGGGGTTAAGATGAAAGGTTAATATCCACTTTGGATATGTCCAGCGGTTTACTCGCTAGACTTTGGAGCTTAGCAAGTTTAAGATTTGGGATTCAAATTTCACTGGATATTTTTTGTAGTTATCCTCCGCTGTTCCTGCAGTAACTTACTCGGTCCAAGTGGGGAGGCGGCCTTCTGAGTCCTTTGAATGCATGGATGGACCCACCCTTTCTTCAGTCCAAATATCATCACACTTCATTTGTAACAAGACCACAAATGAGCATCAATTCTTTTAGAATTTAATTTAAATCATTCATTAAATAAATGAGCTTAGTTTAAATTATTCATTAAGTAAATGAGCTGAACACACTTTTAAATTTTTAGCTCGTTTAGTAAACGAATCTCTTATGCATTTTTAGGTTCGACTCATTTAGAATCGTGAATACTTAACTCGCGTAAACTCATATATTTATAAAACTTTTAAAAACGTATTAAGCTCATGATCGAACCCACATTCGTAAATTTGTATAGGCTCATATAAATTCATGAATGAACTAAAATAATCTTCCTACAAGCTTAAGTTGGGTCAAGCCTGAGCTCCTTTTTTGAGCTGGCTCTACTGGCTTCATTTGCAGCATATATAACACGTAATCCATCAACTGCTCGTCCAACTTGAACCGAGTTTTGCTCAGTGTCAAGCCATACGATTTCGAAGGTGTCCATGGTGTTGTGTGAATTAAATGCATCAACGTGGTCAAGATAAGGTTCTTATTGGATGATACGTTTGGCATCAAAATGAGATTTTTCTTGCTGCCCTATGTCCATATAATTTACACACAGACACACATATATATATACAAATATTCATGAAGGAAAATGCTAACTTCACCGCCCTTCTTTAATCTACGCACACCCTTCCACTAAAATGTGAAGTTGAGGGTTGTTTCACAGTCAAATGTTTCATTATTCCATTTGGGTGGATTCATTTGGAAAAATGAAATTCATATAAATAACAATGTGTAAAATCTAAGTAATTTTCATTTACCTTCCAATAAGAAAAATAAAATTATTAATATTGATTTCACCTTTTGCAGCTTACCCACGAGACTACAATGAAAGAGAGGAGTTCAAACATCAACCTAAGAAATATGTTTGAGTACTTACTTTAAAAAAAAAACAAATAAATAAACACCGAGACTACAAGGAGATCGATTAATAATCCTCTCATTTTCCAAGTTTTTCTTTAGTTGACCCGACTTCAAGAAGAGCCCAAACAGACCCTTAGTAAACTCAAGACTCAAGTTACATATTTTTATTTATTAAATAAATTGTCAGTGGATTGTTATTAAATTATGTGTTGGTTTAAAAATAACTAATCAAGTATGAACACACGACTTTAATGTAACCATGCACATGTTTAGCTTTGCAAAAATAGCTTGAAACCTATTAATCAAATCTCACTTTTTGGCTCTACTTTGTTCTTTAAGAATTGAGTAGTACCAACTCACATTCCGGACCAATCCCGTAAAATTGAGTCAATTGACATTTGGAAATTAAATAAACCGCGTAGAACTTTATAGACTAAACGCACTTATTTTAAACACTATAAAGTGAAAAGACTTTGAGCTAGCATTAAAATTACTTGCAAGCAACTCCACCTGATACGTAGTTAGTGACGTTTTTTAAAAGCACTTCTAATGAGTTTTTTTTAACTTTTTCTGAAATTTTAGCTTTTAGTCCAAAGAAAAGATTCGAAGTTAGGGTTTTGTCTAGTGGCATCTTGTAGAGTACCCCAGTAAAGGAATCCAACTTGAAATCAATATACTAAATAACAATCACATTATACACAGAACTACTCTTTTTGAGTCTGAACCACACAATTAAGAGAGTCTCCTCCTTATACGGCTTAAACAACCTCTCAGACACTCTCCCCAAACATAAAAGTCGGTTATTTCGTTGACAAAAACAATTTATATGAAACCGGCCAACGCCGGCAATGTGTGTCACGTCTCTAGCCGATAATCCCGCCGTTGCCACTACACCTCATACCATTAATACAAGCAACATATATATATATATATATATATATATATAGTACTAGATGATCAATATTTCATTTATTACATGTGTAGGATATATAGCATATGCAATTAATTAATAAAACTGGATTTAAGTTTATAGGGAACACGTGTCAATTTTAAGTGATATAGAGAAAGAAAAAAAAAAATGAAATAAAAATTATAACAATTCAAGGTGTTTTAATGGAGGAACTGCAACTTGTACAAATGAAGATGAAGTCATCACTTCGAATCCACATGGACCGAGTGGCGCTTTTTCTACAAATTACAATAATAAATGATCAAAACAAAAAGAACTCAACAGTGAAAATTTGAGTAAAAAATATGAACGGACAATATTATGTTCATGATGGACACCGAACTTTTGTTCGTCGGAACATATATATTGACACCGGACTATCGTTCCTCGGGCTCGCGGTCGTCGAAGGATAGCCGAAAAACCCACTTGGTGAGTGACTTTCTAATTGAGGTTTTGCTTCGTCTGTGATGACTGCGGTTGTTGTTGGTGGTGGTGGTGGAGTTGACGAAGGATTTAATCCTCTGCATCGCGAGGTTTAGTGTGTCTGCTGACATGTTAGCGAAGCAGACACGAAACCAACCCGGTTCAGTGCAATGACATGATGAACCAGGAGAGATGTTGAGGCCAACATTGTACACAATTTTCTTCCAAAGCTCTATTTCTGCTTCAAAAGTGTTGGAGCTCAAGAGATGTCTCATATCTACCCAGCTAAACAAGCCAGCATTGCTCTTGAGGCAGCTGATACCGGCATTTTTGAGGCCGGAGACGAGCATTGAGTGTCGTTCTTTAAGCCTCTTTTGATTCTTGGAAATGTAATTCGCCGTGAATTTCTTATCGGACAGAATTGCAGAGAGAAGATACTGAGTTTGAGAAGAAACCAATCCGAAGCTGGACATCTTTGTGGCGGCAGACACAACCATGTCATCGTTGGAATAAATTGCACCAACTCGAAAACCGGGAAGCCCGAGATCTTTGGAAAGACTGTAGACAATGTGAACTCGGTTCCAAACTTCGGTATTCATGCAGTTTCTGTCTATCAGAACCTCCATGATGCTAACGAAGCCGGGCGAGCTAAAAACAGTCCCGGAATATATTTCGTCACTTATTAAATGAATGTTTTTTGCAGTGATGAAGGTGACAAGCAGGTCAAGCTCATGTCTGGTCATTGTAGTGCCCAAAGGATTCGAAGGATTGGTGACCAACACACCCTTGACTTTGAGGTTGCGTTTTTGTGCTTGTAGATAAGCTTCTTCGAGAGCCGATTCAGTGATTTTAAAGCCATTTGAACTAGTACACTGAATCGGTACAATTTCAGCCCCGGTTCGCCACTTGAGATCTCTGTCGAACCTAAAAAATAATTATAATTGTTGGTTAAGAAGTACTTGACCGCGTGACAATAATTAATTTTGTAGTAAGATGAAAGAAATGTAAATACTAACAAAATAGATATATACGTACGTACCCTGGATAGTATGGAGTGGGAAGAAGAAAAGCTTCGCCGGGTTCAGCCAAACAAAACATAAGGGTCTCATTGGCCGAAGTTGCACCAGCAGTGAGTACCAGATTTTTTGTATCAAAGCTTACTTTGTTTCCTCTAATTTCTGCCATAAATTCTACCATTGCCTGCACATAATAAATATATGTACAAACTCACTTAGATATTTAAATATGAAAAATGATAGAAGTCGTATGGGACAATTATTACGGTAACAATGCTTACCTTCTTGAAAGCGGGAAGGCCATGATAATCTTGGAAGAGAGCAAGCTCTCTGAATATGGATTCTCCATCTTTCTTGAACCCGGCCGCGTCCGGGTTATTCTTCAGCCATGACTCGAGAAGATCAAAGGAGAGCTGCAAGAATGTGATCGAAAATGAGCTTACATATATTCTTCTAAGATTATTTATATTGGTGTTATATATATATATTATATATAGCTAACCTGATTTTCTGCAAGACCCATTTGAATGATTCCAGTGGGATTCTGAACCTCATGGTATGGGTTCTTCTCGTACTCCTGCCATCCTAGGAAGTATGAAGAGTCTTGCCCATGTGAGTTGCACGTGGCTTTCTTAGAGAGTAGCTTCATTTTGGTCTCTAACTGATGGAGATGGAAAAAGCTAGAACAATATTTGAAAGAATGAAAAGTAGTGAACAAACGAGAAGAAACCCAGTAGTAATGAATAGAATTCTAGAGAGAGAAAGTTGAAGTGTTTGTAAAGAGGAGAGAAGAGTTGGTGGTAGTGAGGTGCAGGGCTACGTTGCTTGCTATATATATATATAAGAGAATACTAGCACTCAAGGAATGCCACGTCGGCATGAGCCCCGCATACTTTTGACCAAACAGAAACTCTTTATCAGATATACAATCACAATTCTATCCCACGCGCTTTCTACACTTCCGGTTCTATAAATTGAATTTGTTTGGTCTGATGGAGTATACTTCCATTGATACACTAACAGTTAGGCTCAACGCCACCATCATTCAAAAATAAATAAAATTTTCTATAAATATATTCTCTCACATTCTTACATCTATTCACCATTGAAAGACTTATTAGTAATTTTCTCTAACCCCATAGCCGCTGTAGAGAGCGCGTGAGGTAATTCGTTATAACAGCAAGTGTCATAGGTCGGAAACATAGATAAAGCTAATAAGACACAAGAAGAAACAAAAATGGGGTATTCAATTAAGAGGAGTGGTAAGTGGGTAGTTCGTTGAAAATGCCGACAGCAAATCTCGGCAGACAATGGCTAGTTCAGTGACCCTCCAAAGCCCATGCAACTTCGACCGTTCACCATGCCTTGGTCCAAAATTTCCCCAGCTGCTAGGCCCATCATGTCGGCCATTCTCTCTCTCTCTCTCTCTACTTAGTTCTAATCTCCTTAATTAATCTTTGTTTCATGATGCAAACACACCAACTACTTCTTCCCGGTCAACCTCTGAGAAGAATACTTACAAGAAGTAATTCCGCGGCGTAAATTTTTTTATTTTATACACACAATGCGCTACACCTAGTTAGCCGTAAAACATAAATTTGACTTCAGATGGTATATATTTGTTTAAGTGTTAGTATATAAAATATATATGTGTGTGTGTTAAATGTGATTACGAGCTACTTCATAGTGATATTTTTGTGGCAATTATGCAAAGACCACCAAATGGAAGTGGAAATATATAGTTAAATAGTCCACATCAAAATCATTCTTCGGCAATAAATATGGAGAAAATATGAAGCATAATTAGTTAATTATGAGACGCTACCAAATGGGGAAAATTTAAAACGCCGATGTAACTAATTATTGTTTACAACGACTTGATCGCGAACCAATAGTCGGCACTTAGTTTTTGGCCACCTGATTTCTAATTGTCTTAGTCTGACCAAGGCAAGTGCGGTTAAAAGTAAAAAATACTTTGGAACTTAATAAAAGGCATTAAAAAAAGCCATTTTTTAAGGTCATAAAAGTGATTCATAGAGATAGTTGATCTCTATTAAAATAGTATATGGTAGGTGATGGTGGTGACAAACAAAGCGCTAGCAGATTTGGAGGGCTTTTTTTTTTCCTTTGGAATTTGGCATATCTTTTGTAATAAGCGTTTGATCCTTCAAAAGTATGGACAGCTCATGATGCCATAGCTTTGTTGAGCATTGCTTTAAGTTGATGATTCTGAGGATTAGTTGAGCAAAGAACCAAAATAAAAAATAAAAAAACTATAATGTAAACAATCAATAACTTGGAGAAGCTACTATTATTTTTATTTTTATTTTTATTTTTTGGAGCATCTATATCGATCCTACAACACACGCTTCATTCAAGTTAGGAGTGCGATTTGAAAACGAGAACTTAATGACTTATCTCTCGCATTTCTGCTAATACCACTATGCCCCTGGGCCTACTTGGAGAAGCTACTATGAAGTAGCCTCAAACCTAGAATTAAAGCAAAAAGTCCTAAAGTTCCTTTAATCACATCCAAACCCTAGATTAACAAAATCAAACATTTGACAATTTCACCTCAGTGAAACATAATGAGTACAACTTTTTTATTTCAGTGATTTAATTAATGGGCAAATTACACAAAGGACCCCTCAAGTTTTTAACTTGTACATGTAGATAGAAGATGGCCACAATATAACAGAAATGCCCAAATTAACTATTTGTGGTTAGTGGATTGATAAATTTACATTTTTGTCCTTGGAGTTAAACTATTTGTTTAATGAAAAAATGTAAAAAAAATTTGTGTATTGTTAAAGTTACGGTTTTGCCCCTAAGACTCCATCACAGCCGAATCCTCTATTCCATGCTCACCGGTCCATCACCGCCATCACCACATAGCCCTCCACCGTCCGAGCTCAACCTCGCTCACTGCATCCGAGCTCGCCGCCGCCTCCATCACAGCCGACATCCGCCATAGCCAAGCTCATCCCATCTGAGCTCGCTGCCGCCTCCATCACAGCCGACGTCCTCTAAGGCCGAGCCTATCAAAGCTGAGTTCACCGCCGCCATCATCCTCGAGCTCATAGCCGAAGCCGCAACCAGCCCATCGCCGTTACAGCCAACCCATATCCACTTCAACGTGCACAAGCTGCTGTTGCCAAAGTCGGATCCGTCTCGCTGTGCACTACAGCAATTCATCTACAGCCGCAGTCGCCGCGAGTCATCTATGGCGATTCAGTTCTACCGCCGTTTCGAGAGTCCTTTTGCTCGGCGGTGTTGTCGTTGTTTACCGCTGTGTGGTCAACTTGCCCACCACCGCCTATACCCGATAGGGGCATTGAACATGCCAGGGCAACAGAAACACACCAATCCGATAAGACCCACCTGAACAAAGGGCGAATCGTACCGGAACATGGATGATTTTTCAGTAACTTAGTTCAGCGTCGTCCCAACTTCTTCGTCTCCTCGGAAACGTTGATGTAAAAGGAATGACGTGGTAAGGAAGCGATGGGGTGTACCCAGGGGCAAAAATGAAACTTTTCAATATACAATATCTTTTATTTTTTCATTAAAAATAAATACTTTAATTTTAAGGTCAGAAGTGTAAATTTATATTGATTTTTTGTGGTCAAACGGTCAATATGGACATTTCTATAATATTGCTATAACTTCTCTTTACATGCACAATATAGAAACCTCGAAGGTGATTTGTGTAATTTGTTCTTAATTAATTAATTAGAAGGTCCCATGGCGGCATGGATAGAATTGGAAGAACACATAATTAACATAACCCCTCCTTAAAGATGAAACACACAAATAAAGATACATGTAGTATACGTCATTTCATGAGAAAACGAAAAACGATAATTTTTTCTTTTCAATAAATGTATTTCACTTTTTAAATAAGAAAACATTAGTATTGAGTCGAACATCGTCTCTCATATTGTATTTCGTAAAGATTATAAATAGAATATTTCTAATCTAACATCCAACCTTGTCTTCAAAATCCCTAGTTAAGGGTTGATATGACGCATAACACCAAAGATAGTGATTGTATAGAGAAGAAAATTTCCAAATGTAGGGGTACCCGACCAAAAGTTTTTCCAAATGTAGGGGTACCGACCGAAAACTTAAATCAATCAAACAAGTTTTAACCCAAATCGCTATTTGTGTAAGAGATGGACCCTTGTATTATTAGAATGTCGTTGTTGTATCCAACCATTCAACCGACATCGTCTCTCAAATGGCTAGACTAACTGTGTTGATATATATCTTACAGTACATGTACATGACATTTTGGCATATTACTTTGTTTACCACACACACACACACACACACATATATATATATATATGTATGTATATGTATATGACTCTGAATTACAGTAGTTTGAGGTTGTGTTAGACGTCCTTAAATTAATGGAGATGTTGTTTAAATTTAGAAATAGATGAGAAGTGGAATGTATATGTATATGACTCTGAATTACAGTAGTTTGAGGTTGTGTTAGACGTCCTTAAATTAATGGAGATGATGTTTAAATTTAGAAATAGATGAGAAGTGGAATGATTGAAGGTGAAGGGGGACACGTGGTTTGTATTGTGGGTGATTAGGGCATGTGGAACCCTTGTTTAAATGCCCCATCACTCCTCCCCTATTCAAACATTTGTGTGTAGGCTCAGGGACCATTTGAGACCGTTTCCGTGGTGACAACTAACATGACGCTCACGTTAGTCCATTCCTCACACTCTTCTCTGGAGACAAAGACATTGACCATTTGCTCCCTCTCTTCAATATTGTAGGCCCCACTCTTGCATTGTCATTTCTCTCACTAGATTTTGGCTTTTTTGTTCCCTCTCTTCCTCATCCTAAAACTTAATTTTACTTAGGGTGACAATATTTGACAACACATTAATACGGTATGGGATAAGAAGGTTTGGATTTGGATTTGGATTATATTCGTGTCGATACGAATTGACTCGCTAATTAAACGTGTAGTGTTTATATCAAAAATGACTTATTTAGTTAAACGTGTAGAATAAACATGTTGTATTCATATTAAAAATGATTTAAATGTATCTTTTTGTGTCAATATTTGACACTACATGAATACTATACGAGATAAAAGGGTTTGGATTGAAATTTGGGTTTGGACTAATTGTGTTCGTATCGTAATTATGTCGACACGGATTAACTAGCTAACTAAACGTGTCGTATTCATGTCAAAAGTAACTTAAACGTATAGAATAAATATGTCGTGTTTATATATATAAAAAATCAAGTCTTGACCCATTTATTAAACAAATTAATCATATTATTTTCGTGTCAAGAGTCTTAGACATGATTAATAATCGTGTCATATTCATATCGATCCTAATTGAATACGACAACACGAATTGCTATCCCCTATACAGAATTAATGTACCGTGTGTGGACAAACACTTTGAAGGTCAACGAAAATTACATATACCAACTTTGCAATATTGGTTCATACGGAAATTGTATACAAGTCTTCTTTTGAGATACTTACCAATAAAAGTCTTCTTTTGAAATAGACTATTTTTAAAATGGACTGTTGGAAACATAATTAATTTGTCATCATTTTGTTCATTAAAACATAGAAATTAATTGAACAAATGATAACATAATACATCTCTAACCATTAAATGTAAGCCTGTAAATGCTTAAAAAGAAAAAGTCTTGGAGAGGGTTGACTTGAAATGTAGAGATTTTGATTTTAATGTATAGTAGTTCTCATTTTCGCGTTTTTCAATCCTATAAAAAAGCTGTCTAATTTTTCAGAATATTTTGTTGGAGGTCAAGATAGACTCGGGTTTACTGATTTTTAGTAGTTATCTTATTTAAGTGATTAAATTTTTCAGAAAATATAAATTTTATAGCATGAACCAAAAGACTATCATGCAAACAATTAAGAATGGTGCTTCTCAGAACATTCAACCAAAAGAGAGAGTCAAAATTAGCATGGCCCTCAGATGGACTTCGACCCCTTTTTTGGGTTAAGGTAAGGATCCTCTTCAATGTTAGATAAGGTTTTGGATTCTATTAGGGTAGAAATTGAACCACTAGGTGAGATCCATTTATAATGGTCCACTTTCATCACACCTGATGATACAATTTTAACCCTTCAACATTACCCTATTCAGCACTGAAGAGGTTCTAAATATTCACCAACATTTTTAATGAAATTTTTCCTTGACAAACATTCTCGATTAAAATCTTCAGTGGAATCCAGTTCTACAAGATATTAATGGAAAACTAAACGACGAGCTTCGAGCTGTTCAATGTGACACAACCTTGAGGACCCAAGCAAGCTAATCCTAGCCCTTGGAGTGTCAAACTGAAGGATCTCACCAATGAGCCCAGTATTCTAATAAGACGCATGGAAGTCCACATCACTCAATTTCAACCAAGCCATGGATCATGGATGGGGACTCTTCCAGCAAAGCTTGACACTGATCTTTCTTTGTTTTTGGGTTGGCATACAATTCAATGATTTGAATGCTGGGGGGGTTTGTTCATATTTTTCAACAACTTCAAAAACCCTAAAGTCCACCCTACAAGTACTTGCACTCCTGAGAGTCTTCCTAGAGCATTATCCGGATTATGTCTGCCGATGCTGAGTCACCAAATAACACATCTCAATCCAATGTTGTGTCATTTTATCAATCAAAAAACTCTCCTATTTCATATATTCCTCAAAGATAACCATTTCGCCACAGGGAAAAAAAGCATTTGATTGTGATTTTTCTTTCCTTAACTAATAACACATATTTTAATAAACAATTTTGCCAATTATTAAAATATTTCCAAGAAAAAATAAAACAAAGTAAATTTTTCTCTTTAAAATTAAAAAAAAAAAAAAAATGTGTTCAATTATAAAAATTGTTTTGAGACTGGTAGAAAATCCTTCGCAGACTCAAGTGCTTGGAGGGTGGACTTTAAATTCCATATATTTTCCTTTTTCTTTTTCTTTTTCTTTTTTTTCCTTTCCAATTTACATTTTTCAGAAATGGTATACCATTGGTACCACATTTTAAGGTTGAACGGACCTTCGGAATTAAAGTAGTCATGAATATAAAAATGTTTATGACACTAGTGGCTAACTCAAATAGGTTGACTTTGTGTGTGTGTGTGTGTGTTTAATTGATAGTAACGCAAAATTCATCAGCACCAATCCTTGAAACATTTCATTATATTTGGTCATTATATTTGGTCAATGTCTCAATCAGTCGAAGCTTCAAATGAAGCCTAAATCCGAAAATGTGGACATTTTCCAATCTTACACTGTGTGCTCATGTGATTTCTTTATCTTTATCCACTCTAGCATGCAAGGATAGCCTAAGTGGCAAGTTGTAACATCCAGAAATAGGGGTCTATAATTGGGCTGTATGGTAAATTCCAAATTGGACCATATAGTTGGACTTAAAATGAGCCCAACCATGTTCAGTCTGGGCTGAGCTCCTGGTAAGATCAGTTCAAGTCTAGAATTTTGTGTTCGAGTTGGGCTCAAATAAGCCCACTTTAAGGCCCAAACCAAATTCATTCGTAATTACATTTGTTTCTGAACTAAAGGAGACATAACTAGGCCTGCCTTTACTTAACCAAAAAAAAAAAAAAAGAATTGGCTTGCCTTCCGTTCAAACTTTTTCGAGACAGAGAAATTACTTTTTGTTCTTGTATAGTTTTGGTGTAACATTGAGTTGCTATATTGTGACTTGAAAAAGTAATTTTTCGTGTAAAGAAGTAAGATGTTATAGGTGTCTCATATCGAATCCAAATAAGAATTGAAATGAGTATAAATGGGTGGATATGCAACGGATAAGTATTCACTTATTTTAGTTGGTATCAGAATTAGACTTAATTCTTAATACAATGTCAAGCCAAACACCCGACCTATTACCCAATATAACAAGAATTTCTTACTCAAACCTTTTTTTTTTTTTTTTAACTTCACAAATTCATAAAACAAATACTAATATTCATATTTTTCAACAATCATTTACCCTTTCCATGAACTCTTTATATTTTCATGTCTATTCACCTTATCTAAGTACAAAGAAAACATTATTAATAGTTTTAATTATATATATATATTATTCTATGTACTTAATTAGACAATAATTTTATTGACCAAAATATAATAACAACATATGTAAATAGTCCAAGAAATAGGCGGTTAATTCCTATAGCTTTAGATGAACCAAATTTCGTGGACACTCCAAAGCTTCCGCCAAATTTTAAAAACATGCATCGCAGAGAGAGACCTCATAACAGGCAAATCACTCCAAGCACTCTACATCAAGTCATTCATCGCACCTTCTACTTACCTCTCCAACCATTTCATCCTCCTCTACTCCAAATGCGGCCGTCTCACCGCCGCCCGCAAGGCCTTTGACGCCACCATAAACCCCAATGTCTTTTCCTTCAACGCCATCATCGCCGCCTATACCAAAGAATCGCAGCCCCGCATTGCCCACCAACTGTTCGACCAAATTCCCCAACCAGACCTCGTCTCCTACAACACCCTCATCGCTGGTTACGCCGACCGCGGCGACACTGTGCCTGCAATTAGTTTGTTTATGGGGATGAGAGAGATAGGTTTTGAAATGGACGGGTTCACTTTTTCCGCTGCGATCACTGCTTGCTGTGACGATATTGTTTTGATGAGTCAGTTACATTCGTTGGCGATTTCGGGTGGGTATGATTCTTATGTTTCGGTGAATAATTCCCTCGTAACGTATTATAGCAAGAATGGGTATTTGGAAGAGGCCAAGCGGATTTTTTACGGGTTGGGTGAGATTAGAGATGAGGTTTCTTGGAATTCTATGATTGTGGTGTATGGGCAACACCGGGAAGGAAAGAAAGCACTGGCATTGTATCAGGAAATGGTTCGTAGGGAGTTGAATGTTGACATGTTTACTTTGGCTAGTGTTTTGACTGCGTTCACGTGCTTGGAGGATTTGTGTGGCGGGCATCAATTTCATGCTCATTTGATCAAAACGGGATTCCATCAGAATCCCCATGTTGGCAGTGGTTTGATTGATTTGTATTCGAAATGTCGAGGTGGTATGTCGGATTGTAGGAAAGTATTTCAAGAAATTTCAGGTCCGGACTTGGTTCTTTGGAACACAATGATTTCTGGGTATTCTCAAAATGAAGAATTCTCTGAAGAGGCACTAGATTGTTTCAGACGGATGCAACGTGCTGGTCACCGCCCCGATGATTGCAGTTTTGTTTGCGTGATTAGTGCTTGCTCCAATCTGACATCCCCGTCTCAGGGAAAGCAGATTCACTCCTTGGCACTCAAATGTGATATTCCGTCAAACAGAATCTCAGTGAATAATGCCCTGGTTGCAATGTACTCGAAATGTGGAAATCTTCAAGATGCAAGGCGGTTATTTGATAGGATGCCAGAGCATAACACGGTCTCTCTAAATTCAATGATTGCCGCTTATGCACAACATGGGATTGAAATGCAGTCACTGCTTCTTTTTGAGCAGATGCTTGTAAGGGATATTCCACCTACTAATGTAACCTTCATCTCTGTGCTTTCTGCGTGTGCACACACTGGAAAAGTTGAGGAAGGCCGGAAGTACTTCAATATGATGAAAGAGAAATTTGGGATCAAACCAGAAGCAGAACATTATTCATGCATGATTGACCTTTTGGGTAGAGCTGGCAAACTGAGTGAAGCCGAGAGGGTGATTGAGACAATGCCATATAATCCTGGCTCAATCAGTTGGGCAACGTTGCTTGCTGCTTGTAGAAAACATGGAAACATAGAGCTAGCTGTGAAGGCAGCCAACCAGTGTATTCAACTGGAACCTTCAAATGCTGCTCCATATGTCATGCTTGCAAATATATACTCCACTGCTGGCAGATGGGATGAGGTACAAACAGTTAGAAAACTTATGCGAGATGCAGGAGTGAAGAAGAAACCGGGTTGCAGTTGGATTGAGGTGAATAAGAGGGTACATGTGTTTGTGGCTGAGGATAGTTCACACCCGTTGATAAATGAGGTTTATGAATTCTTGGAGGAGATGTTAAAGAAGATGAAGCAAGCAGGCTATATGCCTGATTTGAGATGGGCTTTGCTCAGGGATGATGGGACAAGAGAAGGAGAAAGGGAGTTGAGATTAGGACATCACAGTGAAAAGCTTGCGGTTGCATTTGGGCTGATCTCGACTAAGGAAGGGGAACCGATACTGGTGGTGAAGAACCTTAGGATATGCGGGGATTGTCACAATGCAATCAAATTTATATCTGCAATTACCGGGAGAGAGATTACTGTTAGGGATGCCCACAGGTTTCATTGCTTCAAGGAAGGGCAATGTTCTTGCGGGGATTACTGGTGAAAATACAACCTGTCCCTAAATTTTCACTCTTTTCCATCATTAGAAGAAGCATGTCAAGGCTCTTGAGTCCGTGGAATTCACAACTCCTGAAAACACTCTGTTGAGAAATCTGCCTACTTCACTTTTGCCAATTGTTAGCACTTGAACTACAAAATATATTTACATCAATTTTCTTGATCTTGCATATTTTACCCATTTATGGTTGACAAACAATGGAATATAAATCCACTTAGTAATGGATTCAAATTACAAAGAAGTTAACAGTTACGTCAACTGGTCAACAACATATCTACAAAGTTTTCCTTTTTTCAAACCCAATCGTTTTTTAGTATTGTTCCACAAAATGCAACACAATTGTAGAACTTCTAGCATGAGAATTCTGAAAAAATTTCATTGTGTATTTGATTAGGAAGAAAAAAAAAGTTTTAAAAAAATCATCATTCCAAGTTCATAAAACTATCTCAAAGAAAACAAAAATTTCCAATATTTTTTTGTAGGAAAATTTTATGTGAATTATTTGGTTATTAATTCTTTTGGGAAAAATAAAAAATAAAATAAAATTTCTCTGCTAACCAAACTTCTAAAGTTCTAAACAAAAATCATTTCATTTCTTTTCTGGCTATTTCTATCTAACCAAGCCAAGCTTATTCTTCTGTATTCACAGAAAAAGGACAAAACACGGAAGGAACTGGAAGTCCTTGCAGCACAACATGCCTCCTTAAATACCAGTCCCAAATTGCACCAATTGAGCAACTTAATGCTGAAAATACAGGTTCTTGATCAGTAAGGTACATTTAGGAACTGCTGCAATTTAAATGTACGCAGGATCCAATTAAATAAAACTAGACAGTCTGTAGGAAACAATTTAACAAAATGCCAGAATGTGATGTTGCTCGGAACCTATAAAATCTAGGTTAGATTTAATTACTGAAATATATATATATAACATCTCGGTTGCACACAACATCTCAGCTGCAGAGAAGTTTGGTGAATTCCTCTTGTTCCTGTTTAGCCCCCTCCATTTCAGAAGCTATTTTTATTTGTAAAATTTGTTTCTTCCACATTTGAAATGGATGTCCGAATTACGTGAGCAATATGAAAATGAAAATGGACCTCTACTTAGTTTCACCCAAGCCTCATACTCGTCATGAATAGATCAAACAGGTTTGGGTCCATAAAAGCAGCGACAATTGCCCTATGAAAATGGCTCCTGTGGGGTCTTGAACCAAGAGTTTGATTTTGTTTTGTACATCTAATTTTCTGCATAAGCACTACTATCATCACGAAAACTATTGCCCATAATCCATAAAATACAAGCATATCACTAATGATTATAGGAAAGAAAATCCAGAATCTCAGTGATTAGTGTGATCCAATACATAGAAGAATACCTAGTAGAAGTGAGAAATCTCACTTCAAGACAATTTTAAGGTTCTATCGATAATCATTCTCCTCTGAAGCAAAGGAAGAGAAGTTGTCTGAAGTTGTTCGTCACTTGCCCAGAGCCCCTTAAATCCATTTGTAGCAGCATATGAAACAAGTACTACCAACTTCGTTCATAAAATGGACCGCTACTATTCAACTGCTATGCCAGTATCTTCAGTACGAGGCGGCCTCCATTTGCTATCAAATATACTCCTTTCCACAACATTGTGGGTCTCGAGAGGAAGCTTTGCATCAATGAGCTCCAGCAATTCTTGCAAGCCAACTCCCATTATGGCAGATATTTTGACATGTGGAACAGATTGAGCTTGAGAACAGGAATCTTTTCCAATCTTCCTGCAGTCATTAGACAACTCACTTTGTTGGTCACATGGAGTTTCCCATCCCATAAATTGACCGTCCTCATTGATAGCTTCTTGCCCATCTACTGATGAGAGCCAGCCATCAGAGTAATCACCCTGTTGGTCATCGACGGTCCCATCAGACGCAATATCGTCATAATAATCATCAGCGCCCTCTTCAGACAATTGCTCAGATGCCACATCATCAACTTCTTTCCCTGAGAAACTGCCGAGTTCATCCTCTTCATCATCTAGATTTTTATCACTTCCCATTTCCTCTTCTTGAAGATCAATCTAATTCAGGTCTTAAAATAAGATGATCATGCAATTTATTTGTTTTCCTTCTTGAACATACTGAGAGCTGATTCAGAATTAGTACCTTGTTCCAAACTTCAATCATATTCTGAATCTTCTCCTCTGACACTTTCATGTCCTTGAGAACTTGCAATACGGTATCCCGTTGCTCGTCAAGGTTGGGTGCACTGGAGTCCAGGACATGCTGCAAAGGATATGAAAATATCTATCACATTGCTTGCTATGAGCCCTTTCTGGTTGCCAGCTCATACATGTTCTAAAGATGACCTTTGCAGAAAATCATATCCTTTTGAAGAGCTCATATAAATGGAAAATATAGCAGAAAATCATTTTGAAGTGCCTCTAATCCTACCCGATAATTGATTTTTAAGATCAATTGTACAGACAAATTGCTTCAACGAAAAACCATAATTGTATCCATATTTACAGCTAGTTACCAAGTCACCTAAGCATCTATTTCAAATAATTCTGTTTACAAGCCTAAACTGGTACTGTTGTATGGGCGAAATCACATAAGGGCCAGTGGTGTGCCCCCCTTAGCACACTGTTCTTTTTACACGTATGTGTGTGTGTGTGTGTGTCCCCTTTCCCTCACTTGATCTTAAAGAATGAAGACAAGAAGAAGGGTGGACAATAAATTCATACCACAAGGAGGTCAGCTTCCACCACTTCTTCCAAGGTTGCATGAAATGATTCCACTAACTACAAATATTCAATATAAATGATGATGAATCAAACAGTGACAACGTACAGAAGGAACAAAGGAGCAGCATAAACGCTCTAGTTACCAGCACAGGCAAATCTGATATAAAGCCCACAGTATCACTAAGAAGCACTTTCCTCCTGAACATTAAGCACTTAAACCATCAGACCGCCCAGGAAGTGACAATCATCATCACGATAATATACAATTAAAAGGGATGTCATTCCTTTAAACAGTAAACATTACAAAGCAAAACTAAAACTTGTTAGTATTACCCTGATGGAAGAATAACACTTCTTATTTTAGGATCAACTGTTGCAAACAATCTGCATAAACAGAAATTTCAGGCTGAGATGCAAAATTAGGCAGAACATAAATAAATAAATGGTGGAATAGAATCCATCAAAAGGTGAGTGATAGGTGGGGGGCAGAGTGAGTGTGTGAGAGAGAGAGAGTTTAAAAAGTTAACCCTCAAAATTTAAGCATATTTAAGTGTTGTCCCAAATTTTTACTAACAAAATAGGGTAACTGTTCTGATATACCGATCATCACTATACAGATCACTCGCTGAAAGCTCACTGACTAGCGTAGATTTCCCCTGTAAAAATATGCATGTATGTTAGAAGAATCCAAATCAGACTATTCACGTGGTTGCAAATAAAAAGCATTTTATCCAACTTTAGACCACCTACAGCATTTGTGTACCCAACAACAGCAACAGTGGGCATGCCTTGATGATATGAGCCTCCATGCCTCTTGCGAGCAGCACGTTGCAAAGCCCGGGTACGACGGACCTCGTTTATTTCAGACAGTAACAGTTTCTTTCGTTCATCAATTCTGGAATTTCAGGGTTGTTAAAACGATCATATGCAATGCAAGCAAGTTAAACTGCAACTTCTAGATAGATCAATGCGCATGTAGCTTATTTTATACTAATTACTGAAACAGTATTAAGTGTTGGACTGTCACTGTGACACAACTAAAATGCTTACATTCGCTGCCAAGCAAATGGAGGAAGGAACATTTTTCAACTCTCAAAATCAAAACATCAAGTCAGGAACGAAAACCCTAAGTAGAGAACACAATGCTACAACGGCAAACAAGTTATCATATATAAAAGGGCCATGAGTAAAAGCATTAACAATCTCCTGAATTCATCCAAAACACCCACCTATTAGATCAATGTCCCTAACAATAACATGGAATCCATCTGCTGCTACCCAAAATAAGTTCCTTGTATGGCTTCACAAATCAATCACAAAAAAAGTACATATTCAAAGGCATTCAAGCATGTATGCCACGTAGGCACATACTTGTGGAATATCATTTTTTCTGCAAGTCTTAATGGAAGATCACTCTGTCACAGAACATACTTTAGTACAAAATAAAATAGTATACATTATTTGTCACAATTAAATTTTAAAGGTTGCAAAATGATATGGCCCAAGACAAGTAAAAACCTTTTTAACCTTTGACCAACTTTTGTCATACGAGAATACATGTATAGTGATTCATTGATTAAGCATGTAAAGTGTAAACAGGTTGAACTCCATATAAACCTAGAAATATACGGGTTTTTATATTTGAAATATATAATTCAATCTCAATTCATTGAGATGTTAAGTATGTGGAATTTCTTTCTAAAATCAATATATATTAATACCTTAAGAGGGTATCAAATTATCATCATAAGAAAATGGCCAGCGTGTATATACATATCACGTTTAATGCCTTTGATCAGACATCTACAGAGCTTTGAAATTTATACAAACATATCAGACATCTGAATTCAGATTTGCATTTTAAACGACAGATATGATTTGTTTCATAATTGGATTTAACCCAATCAAACTCAGATCAAGATTTGACCCATTGACGCTTTTAATCGAGAAGCTGACATAGACCAGAGATCTTATCAACGCTGGTACATGGAAATGAAACTTCATCAAGCATGGGTAGGCTTTTGAGCTGCTACACATTTGGTATATAATTGTTTAATGAGAAGTAATTCCATCTATCGCCAACCATACTAAAAAGTACATATGCAATGAAGTTCAATAAGGGAATAACTGCTATACATAAAATCGCAGAAGAGGGGAATAGCTGCTATACATAAAATTGCAAAAAATTGCAGATGACGAAAAAAGTAAAGTTATTTTCTTGTTTCACAAACTCACACCATTTACAGGGAAAGAATCATTCTGCAAGTAAAGAACTAATGATCACTAAAGTATCCAGGAAGCTGAATTATTTTGTTGATTTAGAGAGTCGGAAAAAACCTTCGTCGTTGCAGCTGAAGTTCAGTTTCACCAGCACCACTAATAAAACCACGCCCCCCACTTCCTCTCCTGTAAGTGATAGCCACGCATGTTAAATATGGTTCAAATGAAGTAACAATTAATTAACTAAAGCACATGCATACTCATATAGACACATAATACATTTACATACCCACACCCACATGCACACATGCACACATGGTCAGTCAGTCATAGGCATACACACACACACACACACACAGATGGAATGTGATGTTAAGTGTGTATATGCAACTACATAAATTTATTTCAGTCCACGTCATATTTCAACCTTACACAGTGCATACTCAGATTATCTGAATGTGGATATCCAAGCTCATCTCTTAAGAGGTATAGAAGCATGTGGCTACCATAGCTCCCATCAAATACAATTAGAAATATAAAGGATAAACACAATACAATACCCTTCATAAAGCGAAGTTCAAGTGTAATACAACTTCGAACATGGAAACACAGAAAGAAATGGTGGATTGGGACCCAGTTTCAGATCAGAGATGAGCAGGCAGGGATCATGACAATTTGCCATAGCTGCACCGGATATTGGGCAATTGGTCAACTTCATCGGAAAGGATATTACAGATAAATCAGGTTCAGTTAATAAAAATAAAAAATAAATAAAAGAGGGGATGGAGGGGGGACGGGATGGAGGTGATCTAATGACCTACACAAATTAGTAATGTTGTGACAAGATTTGACAGACTCAAATCTGGGCACGATTACACTATACATGCCCAAACTTTCTAGTGTCACTTCCGCAAATCAGACAAAATTTTTGACCCGCAGCATATGGAGTTAAGCTCATACTTTGCATAAAACAACCAACTTTTGAAAGTGAAACCTCTCTCACACATTTCTCCAACATGACCCAAAACAATTTGTCTACTTCCTGCATAACAAAATTCATGCTTATCTCTTAAACGATATTGCTAGTGCAATGGGATAAATTCAGAAGATAGAGTTCATGGATCTAGAAGGCACCAAGCTATCATAAACTTCATCTGATATGATCTGTAATTCAACTATCAACTATGGGAATGAACATGTGACTGTAACATGCTTGATTTAATTCACTTAATCCGAAAGCTCCACAAAGCAGATGTATCCGGGAAGTACATGTCTATGCAAATAAAGCAAAGATGAAGAGCATATGTGTGTGTGTGTTAAAGCAGTGTCTTTTATTAGATAATAGACATCAAACTGTAACTAAAATATGAACTACTTGTTCAAGCATCTCTACTCAAAGAGCCTTTATTTTTTTCTTTTTTTTTTCGTCTAGAAACCTAGGCTCAATAATATGTCACACCCCAAATCGACTAAGAAGTTCATGGATGAGTATATGCTTTACACGCATCAGCTGAAAAATCCCTGGAAAATTGTCCCTGATTTCCATGTTCTTGCAAATCCACTGCCTTCACAGTTTAGCATTATTAAAAATTCAGGCAATAAACTCACCCTCGGGCACTGACAACTTCAGCGTCTCCAAAAGCAAAACTTCCATCAGAACTACGTACACGGACAAGCCTACTCATCTTATACGTCAGAGCTGCCAACTGAGCCTAAAATTGAAGGAAAGGAGAAGTGGCCAAAGATTCAGAACCATTTCTCAACTCAAGTTTAACTGATGCATACAAATTGCAATGCAATGGTGCCAATACCTGTAGCCTCGCTTCCTTTGTATAGGCATGAGCATAAAAAATCTTTATTATGAGACCCACACGGTCCAAAACAGGTTTCTCCCAAGCCCGCTGCCATTTAATATGGGAAAACACAATAAAAGATGCAATGATCAGATTTTATAAGAAAGATACAAACGAAGTAGTAGAGCTTTCTTTGTCTTTTCTTCCCAACAAACTGGAGAGGGATTGAAAGGGTGCAACTTGCCTCTAAATTCCGTTGCTGAATCCTGGTCAAAATTGCATTCACAAATACAGCATCCAACCCGCCCTGTTAAAACAATATAGTCTCCACTAAATCTCCCCCAATAAACATTATATAAATGCTGGAAAGCCAAATAAAATCCACCATCATAAGGGTTAGATAGAGCTCCTTGCCTCTGATTCTATGGTATCTAGATGACATTTAATTGTTTCCACGGTCCCTGGTCCAAAATATGTGTCTACCAATTATATAAAACAGATGTGTCAGTATATATTGACCAAGATACATTATCAAATAATTCTAAATTAAAAAGAAGAAAGAAAAAAAGACGGGCCAGTTCGGGAGTGACCGTGATTCTTGTTTCTGTATTATTATTATTTTTTATTGTTCTTCTTCTGGCCTGATGATCACTATTTTTCATTCCATTTTCCAAGAATTTGTACAAACCAACCCCATTTCCTTTTGATATTATGCTTTTTAAAATTGCAACAAAACCGCCCTAAAAGTGAAGCCATAACTAACCTTCAACTTTAACATCCCAATTTCAGATTGAGAACTAAATGGATATAAAAAAACCATATATCCGAACATATAAATTTCCATTCTACACAAACAGTAGGTCATAAACCCCAGTATCAAACCACTCTCAAAACCAACAAATTAGATTGTACCCAAATTAAATTCTCTGGATTAACAAATCATTACGCAAACAACAAAAACAGAAAAACAAATTCAACCAACCAATCTAATCAGAAATTTAACAGAACAGCAAAATAACCGAACAAACTGAACATCCAGAGACCTACCTGCGCGAGGCGATTTGGCAGCAGGGTTTTGAACAACAATATGTGGGGGCAACCCTTTGTCGCAAAGCTCAGTATCGAAGTAGCCATCTCGCTGTTCCTCGAGCGAATTGGCCAAGTTTAGAGCTTCGTCAAGCTTCGTCCGCAAAAGGGTGTCGGGCCGCAGACGCGGCTGGACCACGAACAGCTTGGGATGGCTTTCGGGGTCTCTGTTGAACTCATGGGCGTGTGCGTCATGATGTCTCTGTCGCAGCGATGAAAGCGAGAATGGCGAAGAGAGAATTGAAATCGAGGGAGATAGAACTTTTGGAGGGATCGAATGTGATGGTTCGACGGAAACCTTGATCGGCGCGTGATTTGAGCAGGAAGACAAGGAGGGTTGGGTGAAGTGGGTTAGGGTTTTAGGGAGACACCTGAGAGGAGCTCGTATGTGTAATTGAGAGATGGTTCTGAACATTTGAAAGAGATGGTTCGGTACAGATTTTGCTCGCTCTCTGTACTCTGCTATTCGTTTGCGTTGGTTTTGTAGTAGATTTTTCAAAGAATAAGAACACTGCAGAATTTGGTTAAAGAATAAGAAGGCAATTCGTGTTCGGTCATAATAGTAAATTCAAACTCAATTTATTTAATTAATAATTTTGTCAAAAACTTTCAAATACTAACTCATCTCATTTATTAAATGGATAAACGTGTTAATCGATCTCTTTATAAAAACTAAACATTTAATATTTAATTAAATAATATATAATAAAAAAAATTGTCACAATTAACTCAAATATTTAAAATAAAAATATAACCCGAACACATTTAAGGTCAATTCAAATCCATTTATATTGTGTCGTGTTGGCGAATCGTATCGTAATTTGCCACCCCTAACTAAAGAATAGTGTGACTTGTTAAAAAGAAAAAGGAAAAAGAATAGTGAAACTCAAACTATTAACTCAAACTATTAAATTATTCTCCTTGGTTAAAAGAAACAATAACTTTTTTAGGAGAATATGTTATCAGCTATGTAGCAAGGAAATGGACACGATACATGATACAACACGGATGCATTAACACGTCAAATTTTTAAACAATATAACACGGGTATTACATGGACACGGATATATATATATATTTTTATTTTTATACATTTATTCAATAATTGTATTTTTAAACTTTAATTCATTTATAATTTCTATACTAAGAGTTGCTATGAAATTAATTAGAAAATGAAATTATGTCATTATTGTAATAATTTTTATATTATATATACCATTATTTTACTACTTTGTCATAAAAGTATTTATATTATTTTCAAGATTACTAGGTAGACTCATGTTAGAATGACGTCCAAAATAATAAAATTAATTTTTATTTATGGACTATATAAAGTGTCGGACACGTATCTGAAGAGTGTCCGTAAAGTGAGTATATGACACAAGTACAATTCCTTCGTAGAAGTGTTTGTTCTTCCTAGGTTATTAGAGAGGGTTAGTGTAGTCCAATAAAATAACTTATAAAAGTTTAAAAAGAAGAAGATAATTTTAATATTTGGAAGAAGATAATTTTAATTTTTAAAAAGGTCAACTAGGCAATTATGTTACTGGGAATGTCTTTGTTAATCTTATTAAATATAGGGGTGTCATTGTTCGAAAAGAAGTCAGGTTGTATCTGCTTGTAATAAATTTAAATCTCAGGGGGTGTTATTATAAATTACCCATTTTATTATTTATATTTTTATATTATTTTAATTTTTGTGTAAATTTAAATATTTATTAAATATAAATTTATCTAGACCTATTATCATATTTAATAAAAAAAAAGAAGGTAAATCATAGTAATATTTTTTTATTAACAACCTATAAAATAAGATTTTTCTCACAAATTTGTTAAAAACTTTTCATACTAACCAAATAAATTCTAAAAATTTTATTTTCGTTTCTTTCACTTCCAGTTTCCTGCATGATTTCCATCTAATTGAGTTGTGGTAATTTTAATGTATTTTTAAAGTTAAACCTGCCTCTATTAACTAATTAAAACAGGTGTAAAATATAAACACAATTATAATCCTTATACGTGTGAGGGTTCGCATGCACTAGCAGGGAATCCTTGCTTGTTTTCCACACCCACCTAAGAATAGTAGGGCCATGTGATGGGTGACTTGTGAGTAAAATATATACTTACGTAGGACGGGGTATATGTATGTTACTGCTACTTACGACCACCTAAGATTTGTTACAATATCAGTCATTTGCACGACTTGTATGTGATACGAGTTAAATAAATTTAAAATAATTTTTAAATAAATTGTTCAATATGATTAACTTGTTTAGTTAATTATATCGTATTTGGGTTGAAATAGTTCAACCTGTATAACCCGTCTAACTATACATTTTATAAACAAATTTATATTTAAGTTTCAAAATAACTATCTAAAGTTTTAAACTTGTATCTTATAATTTACTCTTTTGTAAATTAAAAATTATTTAGTAATTTGGTTCGATTGAAATTTATATTTTTCTAATATATATTGTTTTATTGAATATTATTAATAATTTAAATAATATAAATTTTTATTTTAATAAATAAGTTATTAAACGAGTTACACGTGTAACCCATTTAATAAATAGACCGTGGAGGATTGATGACACAAATATTAAATAGGTTGTGTTTGGTTTGAGTTTTTTATCAGAATACCATTAGATTGACACGACACGATTATGATACGCGAACATACCCAACAATATGCAAAATCAAAATTATAAAATAAATAAATATATTACTGTTAGAATTTGATTTTACAAACGTTCCGTTTGGTGATGATTGGTCTTTATGACATTTGTCATGTTTCTTTCTTCTTATAGCAGTACTCAAAATCAAATGAAGCAACGAACCACCGGTTATGTTATACTTTCTCAAACCACATTTGATGATGCAATTCAAATAGCACAAAACGATAAATGTCACAAAAAATTGAGTAAAATTTTAAGTGATTAGTACAACATTTATTACTACTATTAAATGTTAAATGTTAAAAATTTAAAAATATATAAAAAAATATTTATCTTTTAATTACTTAAATACTTCATCACTTAAAATTTAGTTCCAAAGAATTGAATAAAAACCACTCCAATTACATGATTTATCTTTTAATTACTTAAATGCTTCATCAATTAAAATTTACAATAAGTTCTAAAATTTTAATAGAACCCATTCCAATTACATACCGCGCAACACATCCTATTCCAACATTGACCCATATAGTTTAATAAAACCCACTCCAATTTTGACCTAAAAGTATACTTGAGCAGTACTAAAGTTTCCAACTCTCAACACCATGTATGCAATCATAACCTAAGATGTCTGTTCGCCAAGCCAGAAGAGTTGTATTCCTAAGCATTATGCCAACTTCTAAGAGAAAGGCTGTAAATTGCAGAACAATGCCTAAACTAAACATATATTGTTAAAAAAATTCTTGTGTTGTGTAGAAAACTCGCTAAATTACAAAAACTTTGCAAACGTCGTATGGAGTTGACTATCGTTTATACAAAATGAGTATGAAATTATTATTGCCAAAAACATTCCTCCACCTATTTCTTAGCCAAAAACCTCCCTTATCAGTTATCACTCAAAGTATGCCAAATTTATTCTCGTATTAGACCGTACGTTTAAATCTCAATTAAATTTGTAATGTGAAGTTACTATATATATACATTTTACAGTTCATTACTGATTTACTAATGGTAGACAATTTGCATGGTTTTGTAAGATGAGGGAGGCTTTTGGCCAAAAAAATAATAAAAACAGTTTGGGAGTTTTGTAGCAAAAGATTTATTTTATTATTATATTATTTTTTACTTTTTGAATGGTAAAAACAAATACACACTATATTTTGCCTCTACTGGGCTCATAACGATTTACGTTTGTATAAAAAAAAAAAATTACAAGATGATTTAATGCAAAGTTTGGCGCAATGTTCCGACCAACTGGCAAAATGTTTTCCTTGATGAAATGACAAACCAAAGATAGCATCGAATATCCCGAACATGTTTTATGCCATGAATATTAATTATACAACAGATTCAACTTCATGGAGTTTGTCGCCTGGCCGGACCTCTCTTCTTTCATTGTCACGTTGCATTGTCATTTGGCATTTGGCATTTTCCTTCAGGTATGCAAACTAAAAGTTGAAACACAAACAGAAACAGAGCTATATATATATGTATAGTAATTGAACAAGAAAGAATAACAACTAACAACGTTAGCGGGACACAAACGATTATATTGCAATGTCAGGTGGTCACGAGCACCACAACCTAAGGCACTACAAATGCTGCGAAAGACAGTTCTTCGCTCACATCATAGTCAGCGCTGCATTAGTGGTGTTTGCCGGGGTGATGAATGGACTCACGTTGGGCCTCATGACCATGAACCGCGTTGATCTTGAAGTTCTTGCCAAGTCTGGAACCCCCGGTGACAGTCTTCATGCCTGTAAATACCCTTTTCCTACCCAACCTCACCCTTTCTAATTTTTCATTCTTCACACTATAATTAATTTCTCTCCTCTCTTTAATTATGTGTTGTTCGATTAATTAATAATGTTAAAGCAGTATTTATTAGTAAAGTTAGCAACAAATTTTGGGTATACTTCAAATGTATCTTAGGGTCTGATAATTGAGTTAGCTGGTCATTACAATGCAAATCAAGGCATTTAGACATCCTAGGACTCCTGTTGTTTACTGTGGGATTTCACACCAACAAATTGTGTGTGTGTGTAGAAGCAATTCAAAATTATTGGGTGCACTAGCATGGAACAGAGGTGGTGGATGAATTGATTTCTATGAACTCAATGTGTGTGGATTTGTTTAGGGAATTGAGTTCTTAAATAATAGTCTACATACCCTGAATTGTTATCAACATAAAAAGACAATGATGTTATTAGGTAATGTCTATGAGAAAAATCAAGAATGTACTCTGTGACATTGCTTTACCACTATTGTTCTTATATCTGGTTTTTGAGTGAGAGTGATTGAGCAGTCTGCAACACAAATTTAACAGCTATTATGTTGTCATAACAGCAAAGATATTGCCACTCATGAAGAGACGGCATCTATTGCTCTGCACTCTTTTAATCTCCGATGCTGCTGCAATGACGGTAAATGCTATATTACAGTTGTTTTAAACTATTTTGTTGGACTATAGACACAGTTCTTTACATGAGCTGTTTGTTTTTTCAGGCTCTTCCTCTTTTTCTTGATCATCTGGCTAAAGATTGGAGTGCTATTCTCATCTCAGCAGCATTGATACTTATGTTCGCAGAGGTCAGTTTCCTATCTGAACCACATGCAAGACTGCCTCATGAGGGAGCACATTCAAGAATTCTTCATCTCTCTCCTGATAATTGAAGTATTCATTGGTACCTAACCATCCCCATCCCCTCAACACCCTACGAAAACAAAAGTTAAATTTTAAAATAGAAAAGGGTGCAGCTGTTATAGATAGTAATTGTCTTTGTACACAGTTTTAGTCTACACTAACTAGAATCTGCATGTCCAAAACAGATAATTCCACATTCTGTAACTTCTCGATACCGTTTGGTGATTGGTGCATCGTTGGCTCCAATTGTGCAGGTTCTTATTTGGGTTTGTTTTCCTGTGGCATATCCAATAAGTAAGGTGATAATGCAATGCAATGCAATGCCATATGGTACCATTTTCACAAATTGAAAATTTCTTGATTATCATTGTTGTCCTGTCAGTTGTTGGACTTTTTGTTGGGACAAGGACGTGAGCCTACTTTTCGTCGAGTTGAGTTGAAAACATTAGTTGATTTGCACAGTGCTGAGGTATGTATTTTCTTGCTCTTCAATGTCAGGAAATTTTCCTCAGAGGAATCATTTAAAAGGTATCTCTGTCTGTAACTATATTTTCAGATGCATAAGTAATGCAGTATGACCGATATTTACCTTTTCCTTTTGGGGTTCACATTGTTTATGTCGTTTCTACTATATGTATTTATCTCGTTGCAAAGTCATACTCTTCAAATTGGCTTGTAATCAGGCTGGAAAAGGTGGAGAATTGTCGGTTCATGAAACAACAATCATCACAGGAGCACTCGAACTCACTGAGAAAACAGCAAGGGATGCAATGACCCCTATATCTGAAACTTTTGCCATTGATATCAATGCCAAACTTGACAGGTATGACGTTTCTTCTCAACTATGCAGGAATTTGGGGCTGTGGACTTCTTCATAACTCGTAACTATGCAGGAATTTGATATGGCTAATCTCGGCAAAGGGGCATAGCAGAGTGCCAGTATATTATGAGCAACCAGAAAAGATTATTGGTCTTATTCTGGTAATTTCTTGTTGATTTTACTTGAGTACATTTCTACAAATAATTTAAATTCTCTTTCCTGCATGTTAGTGTAATTCTCTTGACTTCTACTCAACAAATCTGTCAATTAACCTCTATTCTCACTCTGTATCTGCTATTAAGATTAAGACACACCTTAGTTATTACTTATTTCTTCCAAAGTCTACTTCCTTTCTAATCATGGAAGGGTTCTTTGGATCATATACAAGTTAGGTAGATAACATAGGGAGAGTCTTATAATTTATGCAAGAGAAAAATATGGTTCTAATTTTTTGTAATATCTATGTCTATGGATGTGATAATTGGTGTAGTTTTTGGCAACTTCTTAGGTCTTTCGGGTGCAATGCATTAGCTTCTACACAATTTAATGGTTGTAAATTAGAGTGTCTATAACTCATCTGGAATCTTTTCACAACTAAGTTGGAGTCTATTTCTTGGTCAGGTGATTCACAGGTTGGTTTCATTTCTTCAGTAAATAGAAACTGCTGGATATGGAAACATTTCAGGGACAAACATCCTAAATGACAATTGAAGATAAATCATTTCCCTAAACTCACCATCTAAATTGTAACATGTGAATAGTTTCATTAACATCATCACTATGTACACTGTTCCCGGTGGCATAACTTAGCATGTTAGATGTCCAAACATCCCTTTCTAGTAGAGACAGCACCAAATACTCTAGTTATTTCTCATCCCTCAAGGAAAATATAGATGTTATAATTCCCTCACTACGACATTTTGGGATTATTTTCTTCACTTATATTTTTAACTTCCAAATTCTAGGTGAAGTATTTATTGAACATCCATCCAGCAGACGAAGTACCTGTAAAGAATGTCACTATTCGCCGGATTCCAAGGTAATATGAATTGTCAAATGGAAGTTCATAGCTGTTCAAGATCAGAATAACACCATAAATGATGAAAAATAATCGATTTACCTTTACGAACAGGGTTTCATTTGAAATTTTGAAAAAGGCAAATCTTAAAATTCTTATTCTATTATTATTATTATTTTCCCTCGGTCTTTATATCTTGAGTTACACTACACCCGTTTATAAAGTCCATTGCCCTCCATGTCATAGGTAACACCTGGACATGTTTGACACTCATTTGGGTTTGACCATCTATATTGGTAACTAAAATTTTAGTTTTCAGTACATGAGGCGTATCTCATCAATTTTGAAGCCACATTATTTTATTTTCCCCCTTGATGGGTTGAATATTCAGTCATAATACTTCTGTGTGTGTGTAATTTTACAATCTGTTATGTATTTTTATTTTGTTACTTGTCTGGGAAGGATTACGTTTTTAGAAGCAGCCATTTCTTGCTTAACACAAGAGGTGGCAACTGAAATGAGGGATAATTTTGCCATCAAGGTCAGGGCAAAGTCGGGTTTCGAATTTAAAGTTTCATGTTGGAAAAATATTTCTGCCTTTCCAATTAAGGCTTGTTAGGTATATAGAGTCTTACAAGCATTGGTATAACACATAAATCTTGGGAGGCTTCACTTTAACCCCAAGTACTTGTGAGGAATTTCAATCCGAGGGTGCTAGTATTTGACCGCAATTGTATGATTGTGCAGTTCCTTTCTGGTCCTGCAGAATGTGGTTATTCCTCAGTTACATGAGCAACAAGAATGATGTTCTTTCCTGCTTCATAATTTTGCTGTCTTAAACATCCCTATTGTTTGTTGGGATGATAAAACAAAACCAGAAATAAAATTTTAGTTCCTTTATCATAAGCTAGTTATGTCATTTTCGTTGCATTTTTAACGCGTTCTGCTTAATAATGATATAATTAATTCAAATTACTGTACATATGCACTAATATCTGTTCGTTGGCACTTTTTGCCAGAGTTTCAGAGATGATGCCCTTATACGACATACTAAATGAGTTTCAGAAAGGTCACAGCCATATGCTTGCTGTTGTAAGAGAGCATGGTAACATAGAGGAGCAGCCAACCAACAAACACCCAGCCTATGGTAAGCATCTCCGATTTCACTCTCTAGACTGGATTGTGTATGATGTTTGTGCTTATTTTATCTTCATCTTTTACTTCTCATAACCAAAATGTAGATTTAGTGAGCGAAGTAAGATTGGACATTCACAGTGAAAGGTATCATCACAAGAAAAGCTTGAAGAGCATGAGATCATTCAACAAGTTGAATGGATTACCTGGAAGGACGAACAGTTTACGCAGAGAAACCTCAAAGAGCAGGAGATGGTCAGATCATTTTGACCCAGAGGTCCTGCATATAGATGACAACTCACTTTCAACATTCATTGAAGAAGGGGAAGTTATTGGCATAATAACAATGGAAGACGTTATTGAAGAGCTGTTAAAAGTATGGTGATATATTTCGAACACTGAATCTTCTTTTTCCATTCTCCTATATGATTTATGCCTGAGTGGCAATGATTTTTTTATTTTATTTTATTTTATTTTTTTTTATGCAGGAGGATATCTATGATGAGATGGATCACCACGGATCATCGAGACGAGCATAAATAGCTTAGTTTCTTCTGAAATACCCAAATACACTTCAGTGATATACAAGATTCAAGGATGACTCTCCTCTCCAAAGGGGAGGTTGAGTGGGCAATATTGTGAAGCCGTGAGCATTTGCTTGAACTTTTAAAAAGTAACATTCAAGGATGACAATTGAATTAGTAAGTAAATTGAAATTGTACCAACAATATGGCTCATAACTGATTATGGGAAAAGATTATAGGTTGCTGTTTTTGGTTGTAACAAACAGTATGTTGGTGAATATACAAATTGATGAACACAGAGAAGAAGCAAAGAACTTTTCTAAAGAATATATATATATATGCTTTAAAATTCAAACATAAAGTTGAAAATGACCTAAAAACTTGAAAGGTACTGTAACTATGGAGTCCTACAGGGCAAATCAGACTGCATTAAATTGGAGAAAATGTGAAGTAGACTCACCTGATGAAACTCAAACCTTCTTTGTTTTGGCTTCCTCCTGAGGACACAGGATCGATTATTTCTGAGTCACACTACCCAGATAAAAGAGGTCTTAGAAATTTAGAATCATCAATTCAAGAATGGTTTCGCCTCCAATTAATGAACTCAGACTGAACAATCACGAACTCGAAGTTTAAGATTTTAGGGTTCACCTTTAGTTTTATGGACAATAAGGGTGTGTTTGGATAGTATTAGTAATGAGAGAAAAGAAAAGAAAAGAAAAGAAAGGATAGTATTAGTGAGAAAAGAAAAGAAAAGAAAAGAAATGATAGTAATAATTTCTATTTGTGTTTGGATAGATAGGAGAGAAAAGAAAAAAAGTGATAGTTATTTTTGTTTGGATAAGATAGAGGAGAGAAAAGAAAAGAAAGGATAATAGACAAATTACTTTTTTACCCTTTCATAACCATGGGACTTGAATGGAATAATAAATCTTTCTATTGATTTGTGCAGGCTAATTTTGGTATTATCAAAATACCACTAAAATCACTATCCTTTCTCTCACTATCTCTCCCTATCTTCTCAATTTTGAGGAGAAATTAAATAAGAGATAGGGAGGGATAGCTATCCATCCCTATCTCTCCTTATCCCTCCCTATTCCTCTACTTAAGTTACCCAAATACAAAGTTACACTATCCTCTCTTTTCTTTTCTCTCCCTATCCCTCCAAATCAACCCTACCAAACACACCCTAAAAGAATACAAAGAACACCAACTTAGGATTGCTTGAAAGCGACAACGGTAGTGGTCATGGAGGTTGCAATTCGTCGTCTTTTTTTTTTGGTTCCCTGTCTCCGTACTAATAATCAATCAGATTCCCCTTAAGAGTGATATAACAGCAAACCTCATGGATGTGAGTGTAATTTATTTTGTTATAAAACTATGAACAAAAAAAACATGTCCTGGTTTTTTGAGAACTTAATGGTCTTTTATGTTTTTTTTATTTATAATTATAATACTAGCAAAAGAAATTTTAAATATTATGTAGTACATTTCGAATTGGAATAATTATTTTGGGACAATCAACAAATAAAAAATGAACATTTTTTTTTTGTGAGAGAGAAGGAGTACCATTTTACTTCATCGATGCAATAGCCTTTGATTATTTATGAATTAATTCAACTTTAATTTGTTATTTAATCAAAAATTGAATTTCATAATTAACCATAAAAAATATTCAGCTTAATAACTCAACTTTATATATATATGTACGTACTTATTATGACAAACAATTCTCAACATTCTTGAACATGATTCTCAATGTATTTGCTATTATTTTGCCTATTTTAGCTTAAAAGAAAATTAAAATATTAAAATAACTACTTTGTTATTTAAAGTAGTAACTCAACCAATGTATATTTTTCTATCATTAAATGATTGCGGCCTCTATTCTCATAATATTTTCTTTTGGGATACAATATCCAGGATAACATACTGGGGGCTATTTTTTTATTATTGGATACTTGATGGATGATGATCCATCAACTATTGGAAGGTGTACCCTTGGATATTGTAAACTTTTTCAGGATTCACCGCACTACACTTTGCTAGAAAAAAATTGGTGGGATTAAAACGCATGATATTCTTATATCTAAAAATGATATTGTAAGTGAACCTAGAAAAAACTTGTGAGCAACTTGGCGAGAGAAAAAAAATACAACATGTCAATATCTTTTCAATCATTTGTCTCCTCATAAGTATGGTTGTTTTTTATTATTGGATACTTGATGGATGATGATCCATCAACTATTGGAAGGTGTACCCTTGGATATTGTAAACTTTTTCAGGATTCACCGCACTACACCTTGCTAGAAAAAAATTGGTGGGATTAAAACGCATGATATTCTTATATCTAAAAATGATATTGTAAGTGAACCTAGAAAAAACTTGTGAGCAACTTGGCGAGAGAAAAAAAATACAACATGTCAATATCTTTTCAATCATTTGTCTCCTCATAAGTATGGTTGTTGCATTAGTTCATTAAAAAAAAATAATCATCTTTTAGTTGACGCATCCTACAAGTATGGTTATTGCATTAGTTCATTATGAAAAATATGCATCTTTTAGTTGAAGCATCTTAACGCACATTATGTACCAACTTCTTGAACGTTGTAGTTGGTATTGTTTTAGTGAATAAATCTACTAAATTTTCATATCAACGTATTTGTTGATCATCAATCTAACAATTTTTTTGGAACTCATTTGTATAAATAATTTTTGTGAGATGTGCTTGGCTCGGATCATCTTTTATATAGACTATCTTTTATTTATGGTAGCGCGCAGATGTTTCCCAAATATTTTGAATTATGGATCTAACCAATTGCACTCCTTGCCTCATGAATTATGACTATTTCAAAGTAATTTCTAAATATTGCGGCTATTGTTTGCTTCATAGATTGCCGTAATATAGCAATGTTGCCACAAACAAATACATACCTGGGTTGTGATCAAGTATAAAAAAACTAATCGATTAACCAACCTCTCCATATCTACTTAACCGGGATAGTGATTTTTTAAAAATGAAACAATACCATATCTATTGTTCCACGAAAACAGCGCCATATGTTCTTGACCAAAAAAAAAAAAAAACTGTATAGTCTACCATCTTAAAACACTACAAACACAGGTGAGAGCCACTTCATAGTTAAGCACCCGAGAAATTATTGATTTGGGAATTGGGAGTAGGTTTCTTAGGAGAAAACTGAAAAGGAATTATTTGAAAGAAGAAAAATCCAGAATAGATTCGGAAGTGAAAAGGTGAAGGCAAAATTAGAATTTTTCATTCTATAGTATGTTGTAATAATCAAAGATTTTTATTTTTAAAAAGCTTGAAATTCTAAGAATCATCAAATCGAAATATTTAAAATCATCAACAACTTCTCTAAAACAAATATGCTTTAAATTCAGAATCCGTTAAATGTATATATCAACAAAAAGTTGACTAGATTGAACTTTCGCCAACTCGGAGTTTAAGATTTTAGGGGTCACTTTTACATAAGAATACAAAGAAGAACGACTTTAGGATTGCTTGAAAGCGACAACGGCAGTGGTGATGGCGGTTGAGAAAAAAAAGCTTCAAGCATAAGCCAACTTGATATTTCATTTATCAGGAGGAGGAGTTCTATGATATGCTGGAATGGTTGCAGGGAAGAACACTTGCCTAACTCCTTCAGCCTCTATGATGGGAAAAATGATATCTGATGCACCCTGAAAAACAAAGTTGCTCATGAAAAGTCTATATATAGAGAAAATCTTGTTTTTTCTCGTGTCTTATGTTTAACATTTACTTGTCGAAATTATGGGATTCTTGCAATAGACAGAAAGAAAAGTAAAATTCCAAAATATAAGAAAATATTAAGTACAAATATTAGTGGTTAACTTAAATAAATCGTTCATATCAATAATCAGTACATAAAATTTGGTATGCTTAGCGCGCTAACTAGAAAGAAATATAAAATATGCTTAGTGCGCTAACTAGAAAGAAATAAAAAGCATAAGCAAAAAGAAAAAGGATCAACAGGTCTGAAATGATTGGCATTGTTGAACAGGTTATAAAACTTGAAGTAATATTATATATATTCTATGGCTAACTGGAATCAAGAAATAAATATGGATCTTTACGTTAATGCATTTTGGTATCTATGCTAAAAAAGTAATGGAGATGCAGGCTATATGGATCATAGAAAAGGTGAAATTAAGGCATAGTAAGAGAAGAATTAGCATGTTTTGTGTTTTATAAACTATAAGGAAGGACACAGCTACCTACCAAAATAAATCTCGCTCCAACATACAGGCGTTTAGGTGAAGGAAAAGGTAGCAACAGACGACCAAAACCATATATAACCATAGCAAAGAAATGGAGAACTAAGCTCAGTGGGCGAGAGGGTTTAGACCAGATACTAGAGCCACAAGTCCTGTGGAAAAAACACCTCCAAGGCTCATATAGTCGTAACATACTAGACGCATTTCGTTACTTGCTTCATCAGAAGATGCACAAGACACTTTGTATAGCGCTCCTGCCAAAGTTTTTATTGTGGATGCCATTGGCTGCGAAAAAACAAAACCTAATCAGATAAAAAGTTTGATAAAGAGTGAAAAATTACATATCTACTACGCAGTGCTTTTGCATTTCAATAACTTTTTTGCGAAGTTTAAACATAAATGGAGACTAAAACTAATTTTAAATTTGTAAGTTTTTTCCCTATTCCCCTGCTTGTGGTTGATTGAGATAGGACCAGGGAGTGTAAGGTTTACAAATTGTTATTTATTATTTCATATTTTGAATGAGAAAGGAAAAAAAAAAAAAAAAAAATTGGCACTATAGGAAAAAGCACCAGTCACTCCAATTCTTAATATATATAGGAACAAGAAGTGGAGGGAAAAAGGAAAAAGGAAAAACACATTCTATTGAAAAATCGAATTAATAAGTTTTATAAAGTCTATTATGACAGTGGTTTTCTTCTTCACTTAATTAGTTTGTCATTGAATAACTAGAATCTGCTTCATAATTAATCTGCAATTCTGCATTTTGTATACTGTAAAATGAAGCAATTTTCTTTCGAACTTTTAGTCTTTCCATGTTAGAATAACAACACCAGAATGTGAATTTAGATTACTTTGCGCAAGATGTAAAAGGATTCCAGATATCTGCACAGTGAATCTGTATCATTCAGGTCATGCAGTGGCTTAAGAAGATTTCGCAATACAACAGTATCAAAAAGTGCCACTGTCATTCCTCCACCAGTTAAAGCATGACGCATGTTGAAAGCTGAGTAGGATGGGGAGTAGCCGGCATAATTCTATTCGGCGTTGTTCTTATATTTCCTTTATCAATTGCAGCTATAAATGCATCATGCAGCTCATGTGATATCTGATACAAGCACCCATATTTGATTAATGCAAGGTAATAGACAAAAATGACGTGGGGAAACAAAATTTTAAGTAAATAATAACCAAAATAACAGGCCATATATGATATTTTGAAAACCTCAATTGTGTAGTAAGAAACTATAGACACCTGAGGAGTAACTGTGGGCCATTTCACCATTAGCAATAGAAGGTAGCTTTTGACTAGGTACATCAACCAAACAGCGAACCTTAGTACTACTGATTGGAAAAAATACGATGGGTGACGGATCTGCTACAATAAGATCGCCATGATTTGGAAATGGAAGTTCACAGTTCTCTAAGATCAAACTAATAAAGCAAGATGGCACATCCACTTGTGGAACTCAAAAATAGGGAAGTTCTCATGGGTCTGGAGCAAAAAATGTGAATAAATTTGAGAGAATACAAATTATAGCTAGACAGATCATGTTGCTCATCAAGTCGATGGAGTTAATTAAGGGTCAACAATTTTACTTGATTATAAATGTTTATTGTATATATATGAATGTTTACTATATTAGTTAATGAGGAAGAATGCAGGGG